TATACGGGTTATTCTCAGAGAGAGCGTCCACGTTTTGTGGACAGCTTTGTTGATGTCCTGAAACAGGGCGTCAGGTCTAATGTGCTGTAACGGCACCTCAGACCCACCATACTTTTTAATCTATCATGCTTATCATATTTTTGGTCTGCATGATAATATTTATGTAATCTATATATATATGATAAGCATGATAGAAAAGAAGTATATCAATCAAGATATGAATATCGAGCTGACTTCATATATTGATGATAAGCAAAATGTTTGGTTCCGAGGAAAAGATGTTGCTGAGATCCTTGGATATAGTGATACTCGCCATGCATTAAAAAGGCATGTATCAAAAGAAAACAAAATGATTCATCTTATACAACCCAAAAGCTGCCCCGGTGAAACGCCGGGTCAGGTTCAAAAAGCTGGCGTGGACGTTTCACCCCCTCCGGTCCAACAAGGTAGATGGTACACTTTTATCAATGGGCCTGGCTTTTATGAACTAGTATTTAGCTCCAAATTAGAACTTGCTAAAAGATTCCGTCAATGGGTTTTCACCACTGTCCTCCCATCTATCCGTAAATATGACCAATACAAACTATTTGATAGTCCCTGGAATAAGATGATTATGATTGGTAATGAGACTGACCTCCATTATAAAGTAGTGGACCTCATAAGGAAATACTATCCAGATACTATATTAGTAGCAGGACTGGGGGAGAATCAGGATACTGAGAATAAAAGACTGGATTCATATAAAAAAAGGATATATGAGAGGACAGCCTGATCTATTGGTACTTAATTATCACAAAGATTATAAAGGCCTGGGCATAGAATTCAAGAGTCCTACAGGTAACTACTATGTATCAGAAGCCCAAAAGGAGATGAAGAAGAAGCACGTTAATAATGGCTATGCATTTATACTCAGTAATGATTATGATAAGATTAGCAAAAATATTCATGAATACATGAAAGGTATCAGAGTACCGAGTAAATATTGTATCAAACAATTCCTTAATAAGGACACACTAAAAATGCATTATAAAGTCATCCACCGAATTGAAAAATAAAATTACCACAAACTAAAAACAAGTCAGTATCTATTTAACACACCTTTTTTATATTCCATAATTATATACAATATATATATGGAAGATTTTATCCGTCTTTTAGCCAAACAACAATCTCTATCAGGAGGCACTAGTTTGATATCTATGTATATTCCTCCAAATGGTAGAGTAAGCCTTAGTAAACAAAAATTAACCAGTGAATTGGGCCTTGTCTCAAATATTAAGTCAAAAGTCGTACAAAAGCACACGAAAACCGCTCTAAAATCAGCATTATAGCAAATAAACCAGCTAAAAGAACCAAGAATTTCGTGCCGTGGGTTGTTACTACTATCTGGCATCATAAAACATACTTGTGAAGGATACAAAGGATCAGTACTCATTGAGCCTGAGCAAGCAATAGAAAAAGCTGATTATAAATGCGGTAAGAGCTTTTATCTAGGTCCTATTTTAGATACTTATAAAAAGAAAATAATTGAAAATCCAATAGTCGACAAAATATTGGATATGATTGCAAAAGCAAATATAGACAGATTAGATTTTGGACTCAAAAAAATAAGCAATAATCATTATCATTTTGTATTCACAAATGAGGATAAATATCAAAACTATCAGCCAGATCCTGACTCAAAAACCAAAATAATATATAGTCGCAAACTATTTCGGTATGGTGATATGGTTGGGATTAGATATTATTAAAATCAAACCGCCCAAAACCGGTTCAAACCGGATTCCCAAGGCCAAATTCCTGGAATCCAATTCGGAGAAAAATGCTGACGTCATCAAAAACCCAAGGTCAAATCCATAATATTGAAAATGTTCTCGCACCCCCATATCCTATACTACTGTTGTGATATTAGTAAAGCTGTTACACGTTAGACATTCTGACGTCAGGACACTGTTTTTTACTGCCTTTAATTTAAGCGCTCAAAACATGACCAGAGTTATAGAGGGTAAAATTATTTAGAAATGATTTGAGGGGAAACAAAATGACTTCGAGACGATAACTATGTTGGCATACCCACCCTTATCAATAAGTTTTAAAATATATGTCTAAAGTAGCTTCATTTACCCAATTTTTACCCTTTTAGTCCTTAACGTCAATTATTATTCATTCAAAATATTTCCCCAAATCTGATTGGCTAAAAGCACACGCATAATTCACCATTACCAGTTACTGCTGTCCAAATTTAGACGAAATTTGTGTTTAACGAGGAAATGACGTCAATAATGCAGCCTTCTGCAGGTTAATGCACCGTTAACCGAAAAGACCTGGGACGAGATTGAATTGTTTTTGTTGTAAAAACTAAAGTGGCAGACACCTTACTCGTTTCAAGAGAAAGAACTACAGCTGGAACTAGGCAAAATAATAGCTAAAAACATATAGAGCAAACACAGCAAGAAGAAAACTCCGAGGGCGACATCTGCTATTTGGAGAATATTTGCGG